TGCACCTTGTTGTCTCGGATTCTCTAGCATCTGCAGTTCCTGCTATCTCTGACCAAAAAATAGGCTTTGATTTAGGTCTGAGGGTACGGATTTCAGCAGAAATGGAATAAAGCAGGCAAAAATACCAGTATTTTTAAATAGGAAGCGCCTTTATCATTTAATATTATGTTGCAGCCCAAGTCTTGCACAAAAGTGGTTCTCACGGTTGTTTCCTATGTTGGTAGCATGGGAAATAACTGACCAGAAAATCATTGAAAGAGCCAACACAAATAGATCAAATGACTTCCTTATGGACAACGCCATTCTGATTCTCAAAACACTGGTTAATAACATTCCATAAGAACGAAGAATTATTGTCTCTACTGTTGTGAAAATAGAGTACATCATGATGGGGAGCATTAGCATTGAAAGAAGAGAGCCAAACACCCAACAATCAACAGAGAGAGCTATGCCTCAGGATTTCGCATTCATAAACAAAAACAAAATGTATCATATGTCTCAAACATTAAACAAATTAAGCATGCTAGTTTAAAACTCCATATTGTGCACTCGGTTTTACTTCTCACTTCTGAAGAATTCCCTTGTATGTTATTGCAATTTTGAAGATGCATTCACTTCTCTCGAGACCAAGCCAAGGATTTGCCACAGCTCTCCGGAATTCTTCTCAGTATTCCAGCAATTTTTCAAAGTAAGATTCTATAGAAGGCCTTACGTTAGCTTTCTGAGCTACATGACATTTCACCTTTTATTTATAGACCACATGACTGTGCATGTCTCAGCTCTTTTATTCAGGCTAATATCCAAATGCATTCCCATAGCTTTCTGACCTAATTCTGCTGACTGCTTTCTGCCATAAGGTTCTTTGAGGACCAATGGAGATTTCTTCCACTAGCTTCCAATCTTTCAGTTGCATTCCAATTATGAAAAATGAGATAGAGTCCCAGCAATATTCCACAGAGTGAATTATTACATTAGCATTTTCTGTGCTGAATGGTCATGCTTAACGAACTACCATTTTCTGTTGGCTCTTCGGAGATGCAGTCTAAGCAGAAACAAAGCTGCAACTGCCTCTACCTGTTCTGAACTGCTTGCTCTTTCAGCAAATACACACACATACAATTTTAAAAAATCCTCCTAACCAAGGCTCTGCCCTAAATCACTACCAGTGTGGCAATGTGATATGTGTATTTGGGATGGAGCTCAAACAGCAATGCAAATATATTTCACCTCTTTCAACTCTGCAATCAATGTGAATATTTCACTTTTTTTCCTGTTTTTATGGAGTTTTACAACAATCTTTACCAGATAGTAGTAGTTTTTAGCTTTTATGGAGACAGTGATAGACATCCAGGCTCAATCAAGAAGTTCAGAAATGTTTGGATTGTTTTTCCTTTCAACTATGACCTTGTCAGGTAAAGACTGGTTAATTAAACTTAGGCTTGATTGATTTGCCTTTATATTGTTTTACAGTTTTTTAACCAGGCAGCTTTTTCAATTTCTGATGTAAGTATCATGTTCCTAAAACTGAAGGTCTTTTTTTTTTTAAACATATGCATTATGAACCAGGTGTTCATAACAGATTTGATAATTGTTTTCATAAATTGTTGGGAATTGATGATATTAGACTTGTAGTTTCTGAATTCTCTAACCAAGTTGAATAAAGTTTGGATTTTTATCTTAAATCTCTATTTGCCAAGTTCTGTAGACATGTTAACATACTCCTAATGTAAAACATAACAAATAACTTCTTGCAGGATTAGCTTTTCAAGCATTATATTTTGCAATCCACAATTGGATTGTTGGGTGATGGCTTCAATGTGCTGATTTTGTCAGTGATTTTTATTGGTGGCCTCTTACTATTGAACTGTGATTGGAAATGTGAACATGTGAAGACCTATATGGTGGCTATCTTTCTTGGTGTCTGAAATATTTGCATAAATACACAAACAAACAGGTAAACAGGAGGAGCAGCAAAAACAATTGTTTTATATAATCACAATTTAGTCAATATGATAAACTGGCATGTATGACATCATGTAGAAATAACCTTTGGGGTTGAAAGGTTATCTCTGATTTCTCTTCACAGATGCTGCCAGACCTGCTGAGCTTTTCCTGCAACTTCTGTTTTTGTTTCTAATTTACAGCATCCGCAGTTCTTTTGGTTTTTATCATGTAGATATTGCTCACAATTTTTTCTATGGAAGATACTAGATTCTACATTACTTTCAAATCCTTCTTTGGCCTCGCATCTCCCTATTTCTGTAATCTCTTGTCACACAACCTTCAGGAATATTGATAAGCCTCTGGTTCTAGTCTCTTGAATTTCACATTTGGCAGTCAAAGCCCAAGAATTTGCTCCCTAAACCATAGAGTCCTAGACTCCTATAGCACGGAGACAGGACCTTCGGCCCAAACTGGTCCATGCCAACCGAAATGTCCATCCACACGAACCCTATTTCCCTGCATTTGGCCCATATCCTTCTAATCCTTTCCTATCCATTCATCCAAATACCTTTTAAATGTTGTTAATGTATCCGCCTCAACCACTTCTGCTGGAAGCTCATTCCATATGCATCACTCTACATCTCTTTCAAATTTGCCTTATTATCATAAGTGTCTCAATGTCAAATTTGCTTGATAACACTGCAATGATGCACCTTGGGATATTTTGTTCGACTAAGAATGCTGTAAAAATATAAACTGGTGTTGCTAAAATACTGCTCATTGGCAGACTGTACTTGGGAATAAGGCTAAAATACTATTTTAAGACAACCTTCTCTCCTTTGAATGACAGAAACTTTGTGAGTACTCCAAAACTTTCTCTTTTAAATAGGAGGTAGTTAGAAATTGGCAAATCATACATTGATTTCAAATTATTGGTTCAATGGTTCATTTCAACAGAATACAAAGAAGACTGATCAGTATTGGAGGGTGTGTCTACCAGCTGTCGTAGTGCGTGGAAGTTAGTTGTCTGCCTTTAGAAATCATAGTGTGAATTCTCAGGGTGTTGTACTAAGTTACTTTTCCTAATTTCTTTCTTCTCCTCTGGGAGATTGCAGAGATTTCTGGGTGGGAGGAGTGGAGGGAGGGAGAGGAGGAGAGAGAGAGAGACACATGGTGCAGGCAAGTGCCATTGTAACTGGTCTTTTTCTACTTTTTATTATACATCATGGACAAAATAAGACTTACAAGGCTTGTATTGCTCATTTGGTTCATCAGGGTTTGTTTCAAATTTGTTGGTTTTATTTATCCCTAGCACCCCGTGTGCGACGTGCACACTCGTCTGTGCAACTTGCGCCTCAGCCAAAGAAAGCAAAGAAGCACACACTGGAAGACATAATGGATGGTATGATGGAGAAATTCATCCGCTACAGTGAAGCTGCTGATGAAAAATTTCTACGTTACATGGAGGCATCAGAAGAACGATTTGCTCGTCTTGAGCAACTTCGTATGGAAATGGAGGAAAGAATGAGACAAAGTGATAGGGAACATGAAGCTCGTGTTCTGTTCATGTTGGGACAGATGATGGGCCACAATATGGCTGACTTTCCAGCCACATCATCAACTGCTGAGGGTGAAATAACTGAAAGGAAAGTATTTTAGATCACAGTGTTCAACTTATTCACTTAAAAATGAAGTTTGTAGTGCATTTTTATTTTAGATACAGTATTTTTTTTCTGGTGTGACTGCATACAGGCTCATAACCAAAATATTTTTCGATTGTTGCTAAGGTTGCATGTCAAGTGGTAAACAGTTTTTTTCAGAAGAAATATTCAGAGCAATTGCTCAACAGTAAACCAACGTGTCTTTGTCTGTTAATTTCTGGAGGTGTGGAGGGGTGTGGTTTGAGTTCACGTTTAAATCAATGTGAAGTCAGAAGGAAGTATTCGTAGCAATGCAAAGATAGGACAATTTTAGAACTAAAATCTAAGATAAATTACGAATGTTGATTCATATAACCCCAAGTGAGAGACAATACTCTAGTAATCAAGTAATCCAATATAACATTTCTGAACCAATTGAAGGAAAATGTTGCATCAAGTTTACTGCCCTGCCTTTATTTTTCCTTTTTATTTCAGCCCGTTGGAAGCGATTTGCTGCAGCACAGCCAGTGTTTTATTCCATTGTTTCATATTGTTTGTATCAAGAGCAGTGTTTCATGTTGAGTAATATGACATATAGTTATTTAATATAAACGAATCTTAGTACCACGAATTGAGGTTTTTTTTAAATGAGTATTAAAAGATATTGTCTGATTTCTTTTGACTTTCTGGTTTTAGTAAATGGACTTAACGTGGCCTTAATGGGACCTTTCCCTTTGCTGTGTTGAATGGCATCACTCAAACCAGAATGTTCATATATTACTGTTACCTTAATGGAGGATCCACCTTCTGTTACTGATAGAGCAATAGTTATTTGTTACTATTTGTTAGAAATGCAATTATTATCATTTTTAAATATCACTGTTACCGAGTCAGCTTACTTTTTTAGCTGATGTCAGACATTCTGAATAATGAGTTTGAATTTTTGCTGCAGTAGCCACAGATGATGATGTGCATTTGATTTGAGATACATGTACTTTGACATTGGCAATTGTGAAATTAAATGGAGCTAATGTCACTTGAAAAAGGAATCAGTAACTCCCAGGGACCTAACCAAAAACAACGAATATAACTGTGTGTAAATGTTTTTCTGAACAGGATAGGAGAGTTGTCTCACCAGTTGTTGTTGATAACAAAACTGAGATACTCCTAAGAAGAAACCTAGAAGCCTTAAGCATAATTAGTTGATAGATGATTTCTCATATAGACATCAATTGTAATTGCTGTGTTCATAATGGTTTTTTTATAAGAAATGCAAATTAATGATTATATTTTCTTTTAATTCACTCTCAATAGTTATTATCAGGTGAAGGTGCTGAATATAACTAAATTGGAAATATGTTAAATTAACTGGGCACTGGAATAGGATGGGAATGACAGTGTTTGTGTTTTGATTACTAACCCTGATGAGTAGAAGTATTCTTCTTGGAATACACATATTAAAATATGCCTAACACTGATAGTTATGAATAACATATGTGCAAAAAGACATGTAAATTATAACAGATTTTTAGTTACTCTAACTTCATGCTAATCATCTTCGGTCTGTATACTTAATGTATATTCATTTGTTTATAGATACTTTATACCCACAGGAACTCATGTAAAATCACAGAAAACACTAACCGAAGAAAAGTCTTACAATTCCCCTCTAGACAGTTGACCTGTAAAAAGAAATTTGAAATTCCAATTAAAAGCTGAAAGGATTACTGTAACAAACAAACAAGGCTATAGTGCAAATATTACACTGTATCCTTTCTATAGATGTTCAATTCACCAGGAACCTGCCAAGGGTTTACTTCTGTTATTTTCTTGTGTAAGCCAAGAGGTTTCAATCTCAGAACTGTCTTTCAGAATGAAGTTTTCCATCTGTGTTTCCTTCTCTACTGTATGCTAGGCAAATCTTCCAGGCTTTTTAAGTCTTCATGAATTTGGCCTTTCTTTTGTGGTGGATCACTTCTAGATCCTGGCAGATTAACCTCTTCTGGGAGTTTTCGGGGATATCTTAGACCTAAATCCTTTCAAAGTTTATTTCTGTGGCAGTGTGAATTACATGTATTTTGTGTCCAGATAGAAATTCCTTTAATCTTGGTAGCAAATACACAACTTAAAGCACAACTGCTTAGAGCTGAACATTCTCAACACTATTCTGGGACTTTAGAGACTTAGTCTATGCACTATTAGTACACAGGCTGCTCCTGTTGTGTCCAAGTGTAAACATGTTGCACTTTCTTTCCAGGAACCTTTTAATCTCCAATATTGTTAGAACCATGCAAGCACAGTAAACCAAATGGTTTCCTTTTATCCTGTAATAATTCTGTTATAATCAAACACCCAGACATACAGACTTCATAACAAGTTACATGACTCCCTTCATTTTACCTTAAAGACACAGACCCAAACATAGCAACCTCAAACTTCACAATTTTAACAAAAACCTTTTTTAACCATACAAATAAAAAAAATCTCTTTTCAATTCAATATTTTCTATTTTAAGTGGAACATTGCAGCCATTATTGTGTCTACATAAGGTGAAGAGGGGCTAAAGTAGGCAAGATCCACATACGTTTGAATTATAAATGTAATCCAGCTGATATTTCAGGGGGAAAAAACAAGTTCTTGTGAGTGGGTTGAGTGTACAATTAATTTGAGCCTAACAATCTATCCCATAAACTGTGAATAGATCTACTGTTCCAACAGTGGAGGAAGATTCATTTTCTCTTTCACTTTGAAGTATTTTAACAAATTTTGTGCCATAGAATAGATTGTTGCTGAAATCAAATCTAGACTTCATATCGAAATTTGATTTCAGTGTTGTCCATTTTCGGAATGTGGAGATCATGAAAGGTTAACATACAACCAAGACAGTGGAATCACAGGAAAAGAGGAAAACATTTTTCTTGTAATGCAAGTTTATTATGAGAAAGTAAGAGAATTGCAGTCATTAGTTCTTTGTGCAGGTATTCTGGGAGGAGAGGAGTAGATGATTTGGGAGAGCAACAACTTCAATTCCAAACGTCTAAGGAACAGGAGATCTGCGATATTATTAGCAAAATGCTTTGTTGGTTCTCTGTGACTTCTGTTGCTTCACTTGCATAACCTCTTAGATCCTTCATAAAATATCTTAATTGTGTCCCCTCTACAGCACAGAAAATATTATGACTGAGAAAAGGTCTGCACTAAAACCCTGCTTTTAGTACTGTTGAGTGGTTCCCAAGAAATTGGTGTCAGTTAACTAACTTCTAGGCAACTCACCTGAGATTGGTTATTTGTGTGAGGCAACTATGAAAAAATAATCTCACTGTACTCTGTGTGTTAATGGCCTGATTAGAGACGTGCCCTGAGATCCTAAGCACTCATTTCATTTTCCTTATTTGCTTGATTTTTTTTTATATTTCCCATACCAGCATTCCTTTTTGTTTTTGTTCCTTTGATTATTTTCTCCAATACTTACTTTTTAATTAGGAGTTCTTGCGAACAGAAATTCATATCTTAAAATACATAAGAGAAAGGCAGCATAACATAATAGTTCTAGTGAATGCAATTGACCTGGAGAATAATCTGAGCTGGAGGTACACAAAACTTAAGTTGACTTGAATGATTGGAAATGTGACGCAGAGGCAACCCTACAGCATATCTGATCAATGTTGAGTAAAGTCAATGAAGTGCCCTGATTGCAATGGTGATTAACTAATTTATAATAGACTGGAGCATCGAGCATTTATATAATTGATCATTGTGCAATTTAAGTGTTTCTAAATAATGCATTCCACTCTGCCTTTCTTTAATTCACAGGTCCAAGCTATTTCTTAAGGTAATTTTATCCATCAGTAATTGCCTTTGTACCTGTATATTTTTGCTTTGCTCATTGCACCTTTCAATATTTATTCTTGATACATACGGCTTTTTTGTTGCGGTAGGATATTTTATGTTAGTTAGTTAGTTCTAGTACTGTTGTGTGCAGCTAAAATGCAGAAATATGAGAAATATGTTGATTGAGTAACTGAACGCACTATACCCAGAGTATTCAATCAGTGCACTGAGCTATCATTCCACATTTTTTTTCTGCCAAACCTTTTTATCCCAAGGATTGATCTTTTTTTTATTATTTTTAGCTTTTCTTTCCACTATCCCTTGTCAAAAAATTAAGATTTTAGTTTACTAATATTTACCAGTTTGTGAATTTAAGCACTCCATAAAATGCCTCAAGAACTAAAAACATCCACATTAAACACACTAAGTTACTGTAGCTTCTGCCTACTGTCTACTGGGGCTTCAAAAATAATTAGTTCTGGAGCTGTAGAATGACTTTTTGCAGAATTGGTAGGTGAAATTTATTATTTAAATAATCTTTCAGCTACTGTTTGAGCCAATTCCTCATACTTCTGAGCCATTCCTCCATTTTGTTTACAATAAATTGTGGCTTACGGTTAGATCATTCTTCAACTAGTACGCAGAAATTTTGCATTATTGATGTATTATAGGTAGTGGCTGGACAGCACGCTTGTCAATCATCAATATCTTTATGACAATTTACAATGATTAACAGTTGAATTCTGCAAATCAACTCACCTATTTCTAGCTAAAACATGGTTTAAAATGGAATGGGTCAACTATTTTAAAGAAAGTTATTTTTAAGTAATTTCTGTAAAGGTGCAGTTTTGCACTATCTTGCAAATATTACTTCCCAGACTCTCCTTGGTTTAAGGTCTGAAATGGATTAGTGGCAAAATCTGTGGCCTTGGATAATGCTGCTCCTGAAGAATTAATACTGAAACGTTTTAGAGGCCACATCATCTTTCAGGACTATCATTTTGGCCTTTTAATACAGTTTTGAATAGGGCCACCTAGCCAAGATCAGGCCACATAAAAGAAGCCCAAACTCAGTGGCAAATAGAATCTTTAAGTGTTACAAAGAGATTAATCCATTGTAAAGAACAAATAAATAGAATGGAATATGTTACATATTTGAAGTTTGCTATCATGGAGGTTTTGGTGATTGATCAAAATAGGATTGTTTCCATTCCACTTCCTTTGGTTTCATCAATTTATTTGGAAACTTCACAGATGTAGTAACAGTTCTCCTTTTAACCAAAACATCTCCCTTTTTATTCCATTCATATTTCTAGGATCATAAAAGAGCTCCAAATCATTTTTCCAAGAGTAATATTTCCTCAATAGAAGTTTGTATCATAAACTTTCAGCTGTGGACTTTTATGCATGGTTCGGGGTGGGGGGTGGATGGGGGAGGTGTGGGGGAGCGGGGAGCGGGATATCCAGTATTCCTTTTCTCAAGAATGTTTCCATAATTATAGGTACATAGAAAAATGTAAGTTGCCTGGATACATTGGAACAGATCCTTACCATGTAAGCCTTATATTAATTATAGTTTACTGTAAGTTAGTAATTCTTTACTTCTGTGTCCTTATGGTTTTTAAAAAAGGTTACAATTGTAACAATTATGTGTTCGCATCTATGTAGCTGTGAGATCAGCTGTTCAAGATTTCACGTTAAAAAAGTGTGCTCCCATGCTGCTATCCTCTTATCTGGTTGAAATTCCACTGATTTTTAAAATGTAGTTGAACAAAATTTGCAAACTTAATTTCAATACTGTTGGTGACTATATTGAAAAAACTGTAGCTTTTAAAACTGTTGTTAAATATATGTGTTTTTGTTTCTGTTATGTCTTTTAAAAGAAAAAAATGTGAACAATTTTGACACTTCTGTTTGTGTAAACGCTGAAATGTTATCAGTCCTCCACATACTGAAAAATATGACACCAGTAATGTCGTCAGCAGTCTTCCACTTGGTTGATGATACAGTGGTACTTATTAGATTTAGAGCTTTCAAGTTAGTGAAAGACCATTTGTACCTATATGTCACTGGTATGATATGAAATTTCTTCAGTGTGTAATAAACTAGCATGTGTTCTAAGATTATTCTCATTGTGTTGTCTGTTATTAGTATTGTTTCTCTAAAATATTGTAAAACTGTGTCGTAGGCATTTGTTTCTCAAACAAGAAAAACCCTTCAGTACTTTAAAAAAAAAACAAGTTTTTTCTTTCTTCAGGCTATTTTTCCAGTGTACACCATTGTTTAACAGTTTGAGCTTTAGCATTTTCTTCCACATTTTGGTGTGTTAGAATCTGTACTCTGGGTATAAACAGTTGGATTTTGGCTCTTCACATGTTAAATTATATTCTTGTCAGTACTTTTCTATGTGTTCTTTCAGACATTTGTTCTTTGTTTCACAAATTGTGAAGCTTTTGATTGTTTTATCTTTTGCATAGAATTTGTAAGATGTTCACACTGTAGAAGATGTTCCTCTGAAGCTTGGATCGAATTGCATTGAAGAGTTTCCCAAATGAACTGCTAAATTTAACAGATGTGGAAATGCTTGATGGTGAAATTGGGAACAAGCTATTCCATCATTTATTAAATCTTTTTCAAGGTGATTGCAAGAAGGCAAAATGCCCAACTAATTTCAAAGATCCAACAATAACAAATTAATCATCTAATGTAGAAATTTCTTTGGATGTAAAGAAATAAAATCTCTCAAACATAATCTGTGGTTTAATTTCATACGCACACAAAATACCAAAGCGTTTACAGAACTAAATATAATGAAGGTACAGCTAGTAAAACTAAATTATAGAAATGAAAAAATGTATAATGAATCCTAAAAACTGGACATCCTGGACAAAATAAATATATTGCACTATAGTATCAAAATTTTCAACAGAGCTTTAAACAAAAATACAGTTGGTGATTGTTTCCACGTTGTAACAATACGTTTTCAAGTGTGTCATCCTCAGCAAAACAATGGGCTGCTCGGAAAATGCAGACTATAAATTTTAAGGTAAAAGTTGCGAGGAAAGCTTAAATTATTGCAAATTAACAACTTCAGTTTCCTTTTGGCATTATATGGTATTATATTTTCACAAAAGTCAAATAGCAAATTGAAGTAGTTTTAAAGTTCTGATGAAAGATCATCAAGTTAAAACCAAATTCATGTTTAGATGTGGGCATTAAATATGATATTTCTACGCTTGCAGGTGATGCAAGACAAAATGAAGTATGAGACGGATGTAAAGACATTTAAGGGATTTGGAGAAACTATGTGATTGGACAAAGTCTTGACAAATGAAATATAGTCTGGAGAAATGTAAGGTTATCCACTTTTAGTGGGAAAGCCAGAAACAGTGTGTTGCTTAATTGGTGACAGGCTGGGAAGTGTTGAACGTCAAGGGGTCTTGAACATTTTTGTTGGAGTCACTTATAGTTAACATGCAAATAATGTAAGAGATTAATAAGAAAAATGTTATGTTAGAGGAGAATTTGAGTATAGCAGCAAAGACCTAATTGCAATTACATAATGCTCGGTGAGACGACAGTTGCTACTACTTGGTTTGCAGTTTTGGTCTCTGTACGTACAGAAAGATTATTCTTTCCATAGAGGGAATGCAACAAAGGTTCATCAAACTAATTTCTGCGATGGAGGAATTATCCTATTTAATAAAGATTAAATAGACTGGGTATTCTTTCTGTGGAGTTTAGAAGAATGAGAGGCGCTACCATTCAAAAATACAAAATATTTACAGAGCTTGACAGGATAGATGCAGGAAGGATGTTTGCCTTGGCTGAGGTCCCCAAAAGCAGGGGACATGGGCTACTTAAGACTGAGTTGAGAAATTTCTTCACTCATGGGGGATTGCAAATATTCAGAATTCTCTATCCCAGTGAGCTGTAGATGGTCAGTTATTGAGTGTGTTGTGTGATCAATAGATTTCTACATAATAAAAACATCAAGGGATACTGGTATATTGCAGAAAAATGATGCTGACGTAGATGATCAGCCATGATCTCACTGGCAGAGCTGGCTCATCATGTTGAATGGCCTACTCATGTCCTTATTTCATATGTGCTTAAAACACTATGGACATAGATTTAAGGTGGATAGCAAGTGGTTTACAGGAGATCTGGGGAAGATTTTTTTTCACCCAGAGGTTGATAGAAGTATGGAATGTGCTGCCTGAGAGGGTGGTACAGGCAGATACTCTTGCTACACTCTGGATGAGTGCTTAAAATGCCAGGACATAGTAGGTTATGCACCAAGTGCAAGTAGATGGAATTAGTGTCGTTTAGTGTTTTTTGGTTGGCATAGACAGGGTGGGCTGAAGGGCCTGTTTCAGTGCTGTATAACTCGATGAGTAACCCTATTTCTTTTCATATAGTTACTGCGAAACCCATTCAGTCTTCCCAGCTTTTTTGTTTTTGTTCCAGATTTCCAACATCTGCAGTATTTCGTTTTTGTGCAACCATGGATTGGTAGACCTGCTGATTTGTTGCAACGTGTATGCATTTCTCTACGAATACTTTAGCCAAAAACTTTGTGCCATGATAGCAAAAAGTAAATTATTAATTTTAAACAGTGAAATTACTTTTCTTCTCTGTTTCATAGACCTTCTTAAAGAGTTTTGTTTTAAAAAAAGTGTTTAAATATGTTTGAAAGACACTCTTGTCAGTTATTTTGGTGTTAATTTGGTTTATTAGTAATGTTTCTGTTTACAGATGCTTAGGTTCTAATGACCAGGTCGTTTATTTCTGCAGTTGAAGAAACTCTATTTGTACATGGTTTTCATGCAGATCCAATTAGTAACATGACTATTTCTGTGCTCACCAGAAATGAAAATTGTCAGAACTTGAGGCATTGAATAAGAATTAAAAATAGTTAATTAGATTCTCCAGTCTAATACATTCCTCATATGCAGGGTGGAATGTCTCAGGCGCAATTTCCCTAGCCCTGTACTCATCCCTGGAACATGTAGTCAACAAGGACACCTACGTTGGACACCTACGTCAGTCTCCTGCTCGTTGACTACAGCTCCGTTTTCAACACCATTATCCCCTCCAGACTGATCTCAAACCTCGGCGAGACCTAGGTCTTGGCTCTGCCCTCTGCAACTGGATCCTCAGCTTCCTGACCGATAGACCATAATTGCTAGACAACTGCACCTCCTCCACGATAACACTCAACACTGGAGCCCCTCAAAGATGTATTCTCAGCCCCCGACTGTAGTTGTTGTATACTCATGACTGTGGTGCCAAATTCCGAATGAACGCAATCCACATGTTTGCTGACAACACCACTGTGGTAGGATGAATATCAAATAACAATGAATCAGAAAACAGAGGAGACAGAGGGCTTGGTGATGTGGTGCAATGATAACAACCTCACACTCAAAGTCGGCAAAACTAAGAACTGTTCATTGACTTCAGAAAGAAAGGAGGAGAACATGCCCCCACCTACATCAATGGAGCAGAGGTTGAGAGGGTTGAGAGCGTCAAGTACAGAGGAGTGACAATAACTGACAACCTCTCCTGGACTTCCCGTGTAGATGTGACATTCAAGAAGGCACAACAGTGCCTCTTCTTCCTCAGGAAATTTGCCATGTCCATAAGGACCCTCGCCGCAGAAAGTATACTGTCTGGGTGCATAATGGCCTGTCCAGAACCGTAAGAAACTATGGAAGGTTATGTGTACAGCCCAGACCATCACGGAAGACAACCTCCCATCCATGGACTCCATTTACACGTCTCGTTGCCACAGAAATGCTGCCAACATCATCAAAGACCCATCCCACCCAGCTAATGCTCTTTTACAACCTCCTCCATCAGGCAGAACATACAGAAGCTTGAACATGTGCACCAGTAGGTTCAGGAACAGCTTTTTTCCTGCTATTATTAGACTGAAGTGTGGATTCTCTAACTTCAAATAATGTTGCTCTTATTACTGTTGACCATGTCTAGTGCACGTCCTGTGCAGTGTAAACTGTATGCGTTATTGTGTCCAAGTTTATTTTTCACCCTATGATCTGCATGTCCCTGCTTACCATGATCTGCCTTTACTGCTCACAAACAAAGCTTTTCACTGTACTTAGGTACACGTGACAACAAATCAAATCAGTTAGTTTATTAGATCATGTAATCTGGTGTATGTTCATACTGTGTTGTTATTTGAGAAGTTGGGTTCCAAAGTGGAGGAAGAATGGATTTTAGTTTTCACTTCTGTGACAATCTGGCTTGCTCTTTTTCAAAAGGTCAAAGTCGTTGTGAACAGTGAGTTTGAAACAGCATTTACAAGAAGCCATGTGATTTTAGCTACAAGACCAGCAAGCTGTCTGGGGAGATAATTGCTAAGGTGTTTGAGTTGTATGAGGGAGAGGAGGGGCCCAGAAACAGGTTCATTTAAGATAGAAGTGCTCTGGTAGGGTAATCCTGAGCTGTTTCAGAGTTGTTGATAAGAAAGATCCAAAGTAGAAAGCTGTGGAGGTGTCCCACAATGTTGCAAAAACAATAAGTTTGGGAATCCTGTTAAGTAACAAGCTGCGTTAGCAGATTTGTTTTAAAGGTCTGAGGGCAAGACATTAGAGAAAGAAAGAAAATACCATTGAGCAAACTGTCAGAAATTTACTGAGTGGAACTCCATTACAGTCATGCCTGCTGAGCAAGAAGTATTAGTGTGGAGATACGGGTGACTGAGGATTTGAGAGCTGAGATATAAAAGTGGTAACAAACATGACAAAGAAAGATTCATGAGATTATATCAGGAACATGATGGCCTATGTCAAACAGAAAAGCCTAGGGATTCAGGGGCATAGTTCTTTGAAAGTTCCATCACAGGTAGACAGGGTGGTTAAGACATTTAGCACGCTTGCTTTCATTGCTTAGACCATTGAGTAAAGATTTTGGGATGTCATGTGGTTGTACAGGTGGTTGGTGAGGGCACGCTTGGAGTACTGTGTACAGTTCTGGTCACCCTGCTATAGGAGGATATTATTAAATTGGGGAAAGTTCTGAAAAGATTTCCAAGGATTTTGCTGGGACTGGAGGGTTTGAGTTATAAGGAGAGGCTGGATAGG